CCCGCCGCGAGGCGCCGACTAACGGCGGGAAGGCTCCGCTCCTCGAGCTCCTCTCGTTAACGGCGACGTTAACGACGGGCTCTGTTTCGCCCCCGTTTAGATAACCTCTTGAAGGCGCTGGTAGAAGAAAAGATAGAGGAGCTCAGAACACGGCAGAGGCTAAAGAAGCAGCAAGCAACCTGAGGAGGAGCAGCCGTCGGGCTGGCTGCTGTGGCAGCGTAGCCATGCAGACTATTTTAACGGATCTTCCATGGTATTTTCCTACCCACCACGTGCCGTTCTGTAATACAGTATGTTTTCTTGTTGGCCGTGTGGAGTATTCTTTCTCTGGCACCAGCTGTTTCCCATATCCCACACTCTGACCCCCGAAGCGGGCGGGCAGCGCATCCATGGGGATGGCTGGGCTGCACGGCCGTGCCGGGGCTCCCCGCAGCCCCAGCAGAGCACGGCCGTCATTCCAGTGGAATTCCATACTGCCTTGAGTACCCTTTAGTTCCACAGGCAGTACGTGTGAGTGCGGCTAAGCCAACAGTGTTGATAAAGCTACTGTGCCTCAGAAATATAAATAAGTTTTAGCAAACTACTTGCGTATTAGCACAAAACCATGTTAGAAGCTACCAAACTCCACGTTACAGCCACTCTTAACAACGCCGTTGTAAAGCAGAGGCTAAAAGCTGTGGCAGTTGTTGGAGACACAGTATCTATGTTTGTAAGGAATCTCCTTTGACAAAAAAAAATATGGACACTGTTAATGACAGGCTAAAGAGCTGGAGAAAACTGCCACAAAAAAAAAAAAAGTCTTTTATGGCATCCAACACATAATGAGAAGAAGTAATCAGGAGCATCTGCTTACCATAAAATTTTGAGTAGAAAAGACAGAATTGCTTTTTCTTTTTTGAATTCATGAACAGTAGGTGGCAGTAAGATATCGTGGCATAAAGCAACTCTGACGCTCATTTTTGCAAACAACTGCTCAAAAATAGTAGCAATTTAACCTGTTTTATATTGTATTAAAGTTGCTCAGCTGTGAAGCATTTTAGCACAATATAATATCAAAATCTAATTTCCTCACACTGCTTATTACAGCATTCACTCTTACTGTATTATTCTTTCCAGACAGATTTAAATCGATCCTACAGAGGATTTATATTTAAAAAATATCATTTTATAACTCCCATTTTTTCAACTGCCAACTGTAATAATTGCTTTTTATCAGAACAGCAAGGAAATCTTAAGTAGAATCTTGCCATCTACCACTGCCATTGTGATTGTGGTGTTCCTGCCGAAACAACAGTTCACATCTTAATCTGCTAATGATTATGCTTTTTCGTAAAACAAACCAATAAATACTAGACCAGTCTTTATGTATGCAGGGACTGCATCAAATGCAAGCTCTCTTTCTGAGAAGTGTTGGCAGCCTGTGCCAGGGAACAGGGACACAGTGAGGGTGAACAGTACTGGTGGCATAAAATTAAAATAGGAACTTCATTCTCTGAGATTTCCAGATTAATTTCACTAATCCAGTCATTTCCTATGACTGTAGCAAAGACATAAAAGAAAGATTTTCACTCCATATTTATCATTGATCCCAATTACTTCAACTTTTCAATTTCTCTATTTTCAGGTTGAAATATTTATGCATTTTTATGATGCTGGGAACAAAGTAATTACCTTCTATTCATAACTTGGCCAAACAACCCATTAAACATAAACACGACAGCTGTCATTTGGCTATGGAATTTTCTATACCTAAACCCTAAAAATAATATTTAATAAAATGTGTTCCTTTTTTCCTTTTCTTCATGGTATTTCTATTAAATATACATCAAATACAGTTTAAAGAGGACCCTTATACCAATATGAAGAAAACCCTCCCAGGCTCCCTATCATAGAAGGCAATATAAAGAATAACTCTGTGGCAAGTGGTTTCGTTTGTTTCCTGCTCACAGACTTGAGTGCAGATAAAGGCAAGGACAAAGAATAAACCTCAAGCTTACATGCACTCAAATCTCCCAAGCTCATAACCCGGAAAGAGAACAAGACATTAATGTGACTATTTTTATACTGTTTTAACAAATAAGAAAATCCAAATACCTTGATTCCAAGACATTCAGTTTGGTCAAACTCTTAGCCCTCCCATAGTGGTAAGTCCAGGATTTCTTGGTGTCCACCCACGGCCAGAACAGCAGGTTTGCCACTTACTCTTCTACAACAATCACTTGGCTTTTTAGATGCTGGCAGATCTCTGGCATAGACTGCTGGATTTGGCTGCTTTACATGACAAAATAGTTATTGTTTTTAACATGCAAGCTGGCTGGTAATGCAGGACGTAAAAGCCTTACTGGATTTTTGTCTGAGAAAGTATTATTTGATTTTTGTCTATGTCAACAGTTTTAAAAATCTGTGCCTAAACCACATTACTGCCACCCCACCTTGGGTGGCTGCAGTTCCCGCATCCACTCGTGCCAAGGGCCAACCAAAGGGCAGGCGTGTTGCATGGTGCAGCCTTGTCCACTTTGGGGCCCTGCTGAAACCCCTGTCCCATCTCCCAGCACAAATTTTCCTGGACAACAGGAATCTCCAGGCACACAGTTTTTTGATAGCTTTTCTCACTTGGGACACTGCAGACTGTTTTTGGCTGGGCACTGAGGACAGGAGCCACACTTTCGATAAAATGACAGTGTTACTTTGTAAGTGTCAGCCCCTACTCACAGGCTGCCAAGTGAGCAGCCCTCCTGAGCTCAGTAGAGCAAACTCTGCCTGGCCTTGCTTTTTTCACTCTGTTTTACACAGCAGCTAGTGGTATTAATAAACTAGCATTCTGTATGATGCCTTTTTTTTTTTTCCTTTGGTACGCTAAAGTATATATAAGATGATATACAACTTGTTGTTTTATTAAAAGAGATTTTCTCTTCCTTAGATGAGACACCATGCGCCCCTCTCCAAGCACCCTCCGAGATGCTGGCAGCCCCACCGAGGCCCTGGCAGCGGGTTCACCGTGCTGCTCTCTCCAGCAGAGCTCCACAGAGACAAGGCTTGGCTTAGGAAAAGGCACGGAAGCATTAAGTGTTACACTTCCTGTGACAGCACTGACTGTTACTGTACACACACGGTGCTCACCAGCATCCAGAAGAACATACCTTTCCAAGCAAATCTGCTCTAACACAGCCATTTCCTAGTAGGTACGAGTTACCACCTGACAGAAGATCTATGGCTTCCAGACTGTTAAGATACTCCTGATCCATTAATATTCTTCATGCTTTGCTTGATCTTTGCCCAACCAATTTCATGTCAATGAGATATGTGAAGCTGCCGAGAACTGCTGCGTACGAGGAACACAAGGTCAAGACTGTAACTGACTTGCAGTGTCCCCAGAACTACTCAGGTGTGCCCAGGATGTACAAGGTTACTCAAGTGAAATGAATTCTTGTGCTAGCTCAAAATATTATTGCCGCTTCCAAACTCCCTTACACTTTAGAAGCAGGCATTTAGACCTTACACATTTACTATAAAAAATACATTAAAATCTAACTAATTCTTTATAGTTAGACACCTTAAAATCTAATGTAAAACTGTAGATTAAGATAATTTTGCATGCATCTTCCCTTAAACAAGACAGAGGCCTCATCTGAGTTTTACCATTGAATCCAATGCTACTTTTTCTATGCACTTTTTGTTTTTATCTTGCATTTTCTTCCATGTCTCACCTTTTTCAAGTTAGTCTGAAAAAGAAAAGATCATTACATGAGATAATTTCTTCATTTCTATATAGGATTTACATGCGCTTCTATCAGGTCCTATCCATAATATTTTTAGCTATGAATATTATGCATATTTCCACAATGAGCATTAGGGCTCCTCACATACCAAGATAATAAGCTTTTCTAAAAACATGAGAGTCAGAGAGTGCCCCCTCTTAACCAAGTTATTGTCCTACTAATGTCAATACAACATTGCACACAGCATACCCACCGAAAGCGGTTGTTACACATATACTGAGAAGTGATTCCACGTGGGCTTCACTTGCAGGTGTTTCTACAAATGATTTACAGATCTGAAGACAAACATTGATCAGAACATCGTCACTTTTTGTACACAGAAAAGAGGATTTTCCCATCAGCATTTTACAACGTTTCAAAGAAAATAAGAGGAATTCATTAGAAACCCTTTTATGACCAGGTCATTGTCAGTTAAAATAGCAAAAATATATTGTGCTGAGGCCAAAATTTTATCCAGGTGTATTTTCTTCTTTGAAATAAATATTGGAAAACTATATTGTAATTGTAGCCATACAAAATTTTATTATATTACAAATTATTTGTACACTATATTATCACTTTATCATTGCTTTGTGCTCAGATAGTATAAATAATACAGCATGATTTCTTTCCCAGGAATGTCCTTACCATATTGATATAAAGTTGCTTTGTACTTCAAAGGAAACTCTAGAAACATATTACAAACAAGATAAAAAGCCATTATGAATGAAGAATGTAAAACATCTTTGTGAATAAAGTGCACCACAATGGTTTCAGAGTGATGTGTCAAGGAACATCCAATAGACTGCATATATTCAATACAAGACCAAACAAAAATAATTTTGAAAGCCTAACAGGTCTTACTCAGTTGTATGCAGAGTACTTTGTTTAACTATACTGAAATGCTTTGTCTTTCTAAAAAGTTGTTTAATTTTTTTTGTCTTGAATCATTTTGTTTGTACGTAGGTATTCGACATCTGTACATATACCTGAATTCCAGATTTTTTCATTTGCAGTATGCCAAGATCTATGCTTGGCTTTGTCTCCATGTTTCTCAGCAGTACTACTAATTCACTTAAATTTAAGAGGGGTACAGAAATGCAGGCAGATCTACGTGTCCCAGCGATGCAACTGAAGCCTGGCAGCCATCCCTCCCGTCCCTCTGGGGAACACATCCTAACTGCACCATTCCCAGCCATAGTGCTTCAGCTCTCCCAGCCACGGCTGCTGCTTCCACGCTGGCAGCTTTAGGGCAATTCTGCAAAACTCCAGTCTAAGATTCAGAAATTTCTTTCACAAGATATTTTATTCCCACTGCATAGAAGGGCATATCTACATGCAAAATTTCACTGGATTAACTACATGAATCATTCAAAAACTGAGGTAATAAAGCAGATGCAAAATATGGCTGTCACAAATTAACATAAATTTCATGTACCAAGTTAGCTTTAATTGGGTATGAAGCAGATTAGGCTAAATAAAAATAAGCCACTCTTAAATTATATCTGCACTGGCATTATCCTAATTCAAAGAAACTGATTGAAAAATAAGTACACTAATGTTCAAGTGATTCTAGTGAAACTTGCATACATAGACTAAAGCTAACGGAGAAACTCAGCCTTGTTTTCAGGGAGTTAAGTTCCCGCTGAAGCCAAACAGAATTCTTCTATTTAGGGAAAGCAGAGTTTGGCTCAATATTTTTAAGTCAATCTATTCTAACTGCGATATTTTTAGGCAGTTTTTAATTTAACAAAAGACATTTGGATGTATTGCGTTACACTGATAAGAGTAGTATTAATTAGATGACAGGTAACTGAGACAGCAATCTGTCTTTAAGTAGACTTGTATTCATATGAAAGATTGAGTTTCTTTGGTGGGTTGGTATCCAAGTCATCCAAATGTGTATTTGTGTACTCTAGGCATGTTAATATTAATCCATAAAATCACTAGCATTTTTTTTTTCCTTTTTTTTTTTTTTGCTCTTGCTTTTTGGAAATTTTCTGACTATTCAGACTAGTCACTTATATAAATATACAGCATATATATATACATAGAGATTACAAAAATACATTTTATTTATATCTGATTTTTAAATAATAAAAATGAAATTTCACATTTGTTTAAAGATCAACTAGAATTCAAAAAGCTTTTGTAATATTTAAGGTCTTGGAGCAGAAATATTGGTATATTTTAGGATATTTTAGGATATTTAGGATGCATCACAATTTCAAACAGGATTTGTAATATATTGGGGGAAAAATAGCTTTGTTTTAGAAGTTTGTGCTTCATCAATTTCTTCTTCTCTCCCCTATTCTAGTCCTTTCTATCCTTCTCCTCTCATTTTTTCTGATGACCAACAAGCTAAACCAAGTTCCCTTTCTCACCTCAGTAAAGACCAAACAAACTCAGGAAAATGAAAAGATTAGTCAAAATAGCATAAGCAATTGATGCTAATTAAATAATTACTATGATGAAGGACATTACCTTTAACTCCAGCTGACATCAAACATGCCCAACACAAAGTATTTGATACCAATTTCAGTTCACAAAGCTAATTGCTGAAGGAACTGAAAACAAGTTTTCATGATCTCTGACTACTTTAACTGCAAAAGATAAATTATTGTCCCATTCAATTGCTGAGATTTTCTTTTGGGGATGGATTCATACAACAGTGCAGTTTAATAGTTTCTGACCTTTATCTTGCTTAGTGTAAAGTCAACATAATTTCAGGAAATACTCTCTTTCTCATAGAACATTAGTAATTTTGTTAATCCATGTAACTATTCACTTATTTACACGTTAGTATAACAGTGACGTCCCCTACATTCAGAACTTGCACAAACTGCATCATCTAGAGGTGCCTTTTTCCACAGTCCAGTATAATCAAAACCAACTGCAGCTTCACGTAGCACTTTCTGGCATCACTTTGCTAGATATTGTTGTTTAAGAAAGAGAAAAAAAAGCACTGTTTTAAACAGAGGATTTCTTGTATGAGCAGGTGTATTCATTATCCCACATTGGAAGGACTTGCTCAAAGGTTTCAAGTTTACCAGCTTTGCATGCATTCAGAATGAAAAGCCTGAATAAAGGGCAAGCACAAGTAACCATTTTCTTTTCTCCTAGAAGCTTTTAGCATCAGTTTTCTTTGTTACTTCTTCGTGCATTGTGTTCTCTCACTCTGAAAATATCTCCTCCGTAACTCATCAGTGGCATTTCTGGACAAAGCAGCCATCAATTATTAAAACATCATGAACCCTCTGCACAGTCTTCTCTTCTTTCACTTCTTTGTACTTTAAATATGATGAGGAGAACTGGGGATATTTACAAGACATTTATTAATATTACTTACTCATCTCAAATTCTGTCAGTTTGAATCTGGCCTCTGGAATGGAAAGGCTGAATGAGTCTTGCATTGCTGAAAGCAGCATTCCTCGTGTCCTGCAGCAAACACTTAATATGAGCATTACCACACCTACCATGGCCCTTGGCTTCCCTGATACTCATGTTTGCTCTTCTTTAATGAAAGAAACGGAGTATTGACATGCAGAAGCTGTTTTCAGCAGTCCTCCTTTTGGGCCTGCAAATGAAACATTATGTGGCGCAGACATACTCAGCAGCATCTCAAGTGACGATAGGTCTCGGCACAAGAGCTTGGTGACAACCAGTTGCATGTGATCAATTGTATCAGAATTAAACAGTTACCTGGCAGCATTTCCTTAGCTGGCAAGCACAACACTTATTTTCAGAGTCCCATTGCTCTACTTAATTTCATAGTATTGATTTTTCAGAAGGAGAAAAATGCCATCACTTTGGCACAAGTCGGAGTAAGTTTGTAACTGAAGATTGAAGGACTTACTTTCCTGGTTACTAGGAGTCACAAAAGATATTAGACCTGGAACTCAAACATATCTGTTTGCTTCTTGGCCAGCTTAGCAACCTCCTCTCTTATTGCCTTCACCAGCGCAGCTGTCGAAATGTTGGTGAGAGGAGCCTCGGCAGGGTCGTGCTCCGCCAAGCTCTGCTGGGAGGCGGCGGCGGAGGGCAGCGGCGCGTGCTCCAGGCTGGGGTGCAGGGCTGCCGAGGGGCTGTACTGGCGCGGCAGCCGCGCCGGAGAGCCGTGCTGGTAGCGGGGCCGCGGGTAGGCCTCGATGTAGCCGGGCAGGGGAACCTGTAGGGCAGGGCAAGCACACAGAGCACGTGACGCTTCGGGCCTCCTGCCAGCCGGCGCTCACCTCCGCGCACCGCGGGAGGATGCAGTTCAACAGACAGGGCCGGATGAAGGGAAAGGAAGCTCCGGTTTTCTAAGGCACATTTCTGTAGGGGCCACTTACGCACGGATGCCCCCCTCACCTACCCCAATGGTGGCAGCAAAAATAGCTTGCACGGAAAATATTGCCTGTCCTAATTTAGCACTGCAAACAGTCAAAGGCATGAGGCTATTCAGAAAGTCTGGCCTTTCCTACCAAAACAGCATTTCTCCAATTTTTAACACGTCAAATAAAAACAATTATATTCATGTTTTACAAATGCACATCTAGAGCTCTTCATTCAAACCATGCTTTACATTGTTACTGTAGACAAGCTATAGCATATTACTATGACAAGATAATTTCTCCTTGCAAAAGGGTTTACTAAGATCAATTACTTGCTCTAATCCATTCAAAGTAAAAGTAAGTTCAATGTTATTTTTTTATGAATTGGCTTACTTAGAGTACTACACTTACATGAGCCAACAGATAAGCTACCACTATGCTGAAGCACTAAAGCATTAACTGCATAATCCATTTTACTTGAAACGGGGAAAACCTACATTTAGCCCTTATTTCAGCATGTAACCCAGGTGACCAGGCAGACGTTTCACCTAAGTTTTGGATTTCAGCCTGAGATTTCAGACATCTTGATCCACCAAGGGTGAGGCTTTGTTGGTTACGCCCTTAGCAGAATTTTGGGATTTGAGGTGTCTTCAAACAGACTTAAATTTCAAAGATGTGAGACATCTGCAAATTTAAATACCCTCAGGAGAACATGGGACCTCAGCATGGATTTCGGAACAAGTTTGGAATGGGATACCTACAGTTTGCTTAAATCCTATGTTGGCTCTGGCCCTATGAAAGCTCAACAATCCCTCCGGTGCTTTTGAACATCTTGCCACTTCAGGCTTTAAGAGCCTATAAAAATCTGATCACTACAGATCACTAGGCACTACCTGTGTGATACTGCATATCTACCCAGTGATGCACTGAATGCCGAATAGATTTAATACAGTATGATGATGCATGCACAGGATATAACCATGCTAGGCCAGTGCCAACTAAACACAGTCACCCTTGTGTAGTTTATAATTGATTATTCAAAAAAAATTTTAGTAGTGCCAACATTGAACAAACCACTAGAGGCCACCATGATATTACTTTTACTAAGCCAAAGCAAGTGGCTTTGACTGACACACTTCCCTTCCTCCACACAACACAATGTTCCAACATTCACCTTTTGATTGAGGAAATACTAAATTCTAGTATATTTACTTACAGGATAACTCTTTGTTGCCAGATCTCCTGTTTCATATGTTTATCTCGCGTTTTACTTGCAGTCCAGTTAATGGATACATATGAAATCCCAGTTTTCATCTTCTAGAAATTAGATTTCTATTTCTATTAATTCATTAATTTTCCAGCTATAATCTAAAGGTTCAGAAACCAGAAAGCAAACAAAAACTCCAACTCACTAACTCACAGCAGGGCTGAGAGCCTGGGTAACAATAAGTTCTGATGCAAATCAGCGAAGATAAATGAAGCTAAAAGGAATCTTTTTTTGCCTTTTGATTTCTGCATTGTCACATTTATCTTTCAGAAATCTTTTTTTTTAACCCCCCTCATCCCTGCAGCTGCAGAACACAAAGGACTGGGCTACTGGTACTCCCTGCTCTTCCCAGTATTTTCCTGGAGATTTCCTGGAGAAGGGGTTACATTCTCCCTGTTCTTAAGGAAGGAATGAACTAGAGGCCAGAGACCTGCTTTCCAGCTTTATTCATTGCGAGCTTCCAGTTTTGAAAAGTGATATCTGGCTCTTACTTCATGGAATTGCAGACAGGGAGCACAGATACAAAAGGGAAAAGGAATAAAGGCAAACAAAGTACTTCCCTATTTTTTTAAAAATGTCTCCTCGTTAATAAAAGAGTGCAATATGATATAATGGGCCTTCTGGATTTAAAATGTTTGTAGGGTTGAAAATAAAACAAGTTTATCATGTTTTAAAGGGCAGTTCTGTTCTGGGAAGGGAATCGGTAAAACACCACCACAAATCTAAAGATATCAGGGGCATTAACAAGTGCGAAATATGAACATTTTATTATTATTATTATTATTATTATTATTATTATTTATTTTTTAAACTGCCAGTTCATTCTGCAAATTCAGACTTACATCTGAGCGTCAAACTGAATTCTTTATGCCTAAGACATTAGGACTAGTTAAAAGACTGGAAAACAAAAAGCTGTCCTCAGGAATGTTTACATGACCTATTTATTTCTCACTGAGCTGCTGAAAGCCAACTGTAACACTCAAACAGCAATTCACTACCATATTCTCTTGGTGATATACATAAAGAAATAGAATCCATTTCCCAATTTACACAAAAATAGAATCCATCTCCCCATTTGCTTAGCTAAATTGGTTCTGCACAAATACCAGAAGTGAGCTTAAGCTGCAAAACTGATTTGTTTTTTTCTTAACAGCATTAAAGCTAAATGGGAGAACAAGTCCTAAATTTTAGAAATTGTTTCAAACACAATAAGCTATTGCAAGTGATGTTAAGGTCTTAGATTTATTTCTTTGAAATGAAGGTGTATTCCAGATGAAAAATGAGAATTGTTATTGCCTACGATTGTACAATTAATTACTTAATCTATGATCTGTCACCAGCTTGCAAGAAGATTTGACACACAGTGCAATAGGGCTGCATCAGAGCCAGGAGTCCGGCCACCTTGAGAAAAGCCTCCATAAGGGAAAGCTACTCCCCAGCTCCTGCAAAGTATCTGTCTAAATATTTAGCTTTTGATTTGGGAAAGAAAAATGGTATCTGACCCAGCAGAGGTGAATGGCTGCCAACTCCTGCTCTAGTGAATGGCTGAACTCTGCAATAGTTTGCTTACAGCTCAGGGGACAGACAGAGTAGCTGTCCCTCTCTCGTAGCTTTTACTAGAGAGGACGCCTATTCCTCAGAGGAATTACCCTGCCCAGATCCTTTGCCGATTACTTAGCACTCTTCAGAGCGCTAAATAAACGTAGCTAGAAAGGCAGAGGTACTCACCGAGTCTGCCCACTGCCCCGGCAATTCGTTCTCTCCAGCGTAGGGCACCCAGGCTTGGTTCCTGTACGCTGCGGGAGGTGTGGGGATAAAATAGCCTGTAAAGCCAGGTCGGTTTGCTGCAGGGATGGCAAACACTGCTGGCACTGTGTTTCCTAGGAAGAAAATAGAGGAGATACTAATAACTAATATTTCTAGCTGTAAATTAAACAATTTGCTTTTGTTAAGAGTGATCACCATCAATTGCATGCAAGACCCCTACCATCTGCCTAAAACACTTCTATATAGACATGAAATACTGGAGAAGGTAAGATCTATAGTTGTTTATAGAACCAAACACAAGCCTTAGACAAAGGTATGATGAGTTAGTTATTAGTACTCTGTCCTTTTGATAACTATCTCCATCAAGTTTGAATCACTAAGTTTTTTTTCTTTTATATTTGCTTCCTTGAATGCAAGTTTAGCTGTTATTACCACATGTTTCAGAGTACTGCACCATTCATTTCAACTGCAGGTTACTACAGATTCAGTTTACCCAATAACACTAACTTAGGAACAAACTAAGCACAAAACTACCGAAATGAAGACTGATATACCTAACATGCTGTAATCTCAACCACCCCATCAAAAACCTTCAATATTTCCAAAAAAACTATCAACACTCTACCATTCAATTCCTTTCTCAGGAACAGTCTATGACTTCAGTAAATTATGTAGCTATGACTTAAAAGAAAATCTACCATGGAAAGTTGACACCAGATCTACTTTACCATGGCTTTATCAAGATGTTGGCTACAGGGATCTGCAGGAAATCTTCTACTAAAATTTCCCTATCATACCCAAAGAAGAGTGGGAGAAACCATTTGAAGTGCGTTAGCAAGGCTGGAGATGTGCATTCCTCAGACACATACAGAGGAGAAACGGTTGCTCCTGTGATGGCTGAGGTACATGGCTTCTACACCAAAATATGCATGTAACATCATCACAGCAAAATGAGCTACTTGTCAAAATGGACAATTAGCTGATGTAGTACCTTAATCCAATTCTTATTAACTATGACATAATATTAAAGATGGTGCTTCTGCAGGAGCAGTTATGCAGCAGCTAATGCTGCATTTAAGAACAGATTAATTATTTGTACATCCTCTTCGGTTTCCCCATAAAGAAACACATAATACAGTCTTCTCCAAATAATCATCTGTATTTACTCCAGCCTATTCATTTATTCACAGGCACTACAAATTTGTGAGCTTCCCAAAGCTGCAAGTTGGCTCTGAGCTATTATTTTCACCTGAGTGAAAGGCTGACTGATCAAGTGGACCAACAGACACTGGAGCTCTTGAACCAGGGGCAAAAGATGCCTGATCATGATGCTGGGCCTGATCTACCCCACTGGACTCAGGTATTCTCACTTTGCTGCCAATATCCGATGTAGACCTGTAGAAAAAAAATAAACAAGCTTTTTTCATTCTGACTGACAGACGAGATTTGTAGCCACATACGTGGCTATTGGCTACAGTACTACGAGCCTGCTAGGAAGGAACTAGCTGGTCTGCTCTGGTAGGACAGAATTTTTGAAAATGTCAGCAAACAAATTCTTCAGCTTTGCCACTACTTTGTCAAAGTCATTACTATTTCACAGAGCCTTTGCTTAAGGCAAACAAATGCCTAGGACACACAACAGAAAAATCAGAGCTTTATGATAGTCCATCAAGAGAAGACAGCAGGGGATACCATATCATTACATTACACTAGTACATGGCATCACAAAGGAGAAGACTACTATGATGAGCAACGTTAACTGCATTTGCTAAGTAGTCCTCTTTAAAGGGTGGGTCCCAGCTGCCTTCAAGCTCACATGTAATAGGTAAAGGAGAGTACACCAACAGTGCCCATATCCTGAAGACACACGGAGTTATGGTGTCACCGGCTGCCACCCGGATTGGAAGTGTCATTTAGTTTCAGTACTCCAGAGCAACTCTCAGCAGGCCTGCAGTGTCTTAGGGCTATAAATAGCACCAGGCAGGACAAAATTGCACAATACGGAAGGCTAAATGAGTTCACCCACCAGAGAAGGGTGAAAATTGCATTTTATAGATTGCCTGACTGTGCGAAGGAGCAAAATGCACACACTGATGTAAGGCAATCTGTCTTACACACGCATTTGGCTTCAGAAATATAAGCAAGAAATATCTGAAAGCTAGGCAGAAATCCCTGTGCACACAGCTCTGAAAAACACCCTATATCTGAAGAACATCTATATCACATTGTGAGTCCTTTGACTACAGAGAAACAGGGGCATTGAAAGTGTGATTTATCTGCCACATAGCTGCAATATGATATGCCATCACGTATTGTCAGAGTTGAGGCAAAGGATGATTTAAAAAACACAGAGCTTTGATTTTCTGATTTTATTAACACTGACCAGTTAACAGGAGAAACAATTTGTTTTATTTCTTTCCTCTTCATACTAAAATAAAGACATTTCTGATTTCATGAATGTCTCCTTATCATGGAGATGACCAGTAGGTGCCACTTCAGATCTTGCCACAGGTATGGAGATTCTAGAACAGTAGAACAGTAGTTTTTACAGTTCAAACCTACAATAAAACAACAGATAAATACCTCCTGAGAGAGGCAACAGCCACAGGACCTGTTCTGGGAGGGACAGGGGGTGGAGGAGAACCCATCACCATCTCAGGAAGCTGAGAAAACCTGTAAGCCTGCAAAGGCAAACAAATGAGAATTTTTTGAAACATGCGGAGATTCAATTCAAATTAAAACCCAAAAGAATCTCAGAAATACAATACCTGCTTTGTGCGCTGCCTAACAAGAATTTAACTTTTGGTGGCTTCAATAGTAACAACATTTTATTTGAGAATTACACCACTTCAGTGATTTCAGAATGTGGAAGAAAACATGAACAGATGAGTTAACAGAGTCGAGACAAAGTTCAATCAAATAAAACACATTAAACTAGCTGGCAAAGTGGATCTTTTATAGCTACGTGAGATAACAGTTGCTTTGGATCCACAGGATCCAACCCGTGTTTTTACTACCTCCTAAAGCAAAATGTTTTAAAGATTCAGTACATGTGAAGCATCCTCAGAACAGTACCTAGTGATACTAGACGATACTGCCTGTGTGCAATTTGTATTTCAACTTCCTTAACCTTGAAGATATGAACTAAAAATTGAGAAAAACACCAAACTTTTAAACTTTCTAAAGCAATAAGAAAGGTCTCAAGTAATTCTGAAAAATGCAATGGTTCACTTCCCAGCCAGGGTTAGAAAATAAACTTTCAATGAAAGAACTGCAGAGAAAAAAAGTAAATGCTGTTCAAATCAAAGAAACCTCAGTTTGATTCCTCCTAATAGCCCTGACCTGAAGCTTGATCAGAGTAGAAAAGCTGAAATCTAAAGAAGAAACTTTGCAGTTGGCCTTAAGGCCACCTTTCACTGGTCTCTCTATCAAAATACCACACCATCTCTAAGCCACAGATGCATTTTCTTGGCTGAAATTCTTCCACATTGCTTTCTAATTAAAGACGCACCCATCCCTCCACATATTAACATAGGAATTAAAAGGACAGTGCCCTTGTTTGCTGATGGAATGATTTCACTAATTGAATTATTAAATCCCAGCTCAGCAACAATGCTGGCTGCATCTGGTTTTGTTCTTGTTAGCTGCCTATGGTTTTGGAGTTAATAGAGTAACTGTTACTAAGAGTAGCTGGACTTTGGCGATATTCTCACTTTCGTTAAATGAAGGGAGGCTTTGAGGATTGGATTCAGTACCACTCTCTCAAGGCCTAAGCCTGCCCAATCAGTGCCTATGGTGTCATTTCACTTCTCACCTAAGAATCTAGAATTCTCTTATTTTTGTTTCTCTTTCCAGGGCCCTTTTGAGGAGAGATGGGACCTGGTCCAGCCTTATAACAAAGAGGTGTTTTTTCCTGGACTCAGCTTGATACAGCCACATGAGGGAATTTCTAAAGCAGCAATGTGATCTGTCTAGGTACGACTCATGTAGTCTGCCTTGTCTTATAAAATATGTTTTCCACCAGATTATTATATATGGGTATGAAGATCAGGAGAAAAACTTCAGAGTGCCAGAAATAACCTCTGCACAAGGTGTAAATATGGCTTTCAAATATGTTCAGAACACTTTAGAAGCAGCATCTCTTACTTCATTTTCTTATTGTCATGGAAGAAGTCATAGCAATAGCTACTTTGAACCAAAAGAGATTTTTCTGCATTCTCTTACTCTAGATAGAGTTATAACAACTCAATTTGAAATGCATTCTTTCAGATATACAGATATATACACGTATATATTTCTGACAAAAAGTAGCCTGAAATTGAACAACAACAAAATTGAACAACAACAAGGCCAGTTTTTCATACTGATATTGTCAGGTTGGTTATTTGTCTTCTGGCAGAAATGCTTTAGATCTGCATGTTCTGGCAGATGCCTTAGACCTGCATCTGATACATGTGAATAAACTACTCTGGTGAGTATTACTGCACGGTAACTGGGAATTCAGGGGTAGTTTAACACAGCAGGGGCACATATACTACAACTGTTATTGCAGTCCATCCATGGACTTCAGTTTTAGTATGGTGATTATTTTTGTGAAATAATGAAATGGTAGATTCAGTTTGAGCCTGGACAGTGAGGCATAAAGAGTGACTTGCATAAGGTCAGCTAAGAAACTGGCGGAACTAAACTCTCTTTTGAGCCTTGAGCCAGTGGCTGCAGGTCTGGCATTATCAGACCACGTACTTCAGGACATTCTGATTATTACAGTTGTCCCCCCCTCTCTCAATGATGGCCTTCATCCACAAATGCTGACGGATTCATAGCCAGATGTACATGTATCTGTTTTACAAAACAGATTGTTTCATTGCATGCGTTTCAGGAACAGGAGGAGACAATTACACGAGTTCTCATCTGTTTGGTGTGTAGCTTTGCACAACCTTTCCCCTTCCAAGGAAAACGCCCAGCGAGTTGTCACTTACCGGGCGGGGCAGGCTGTACTGGTACATCTCGGGCCTGTACGTGGGCACCCACTGCACGCCTGCCCTGGGCCGGGTCATGGTGCCAGGCGCGCTCGTCACGACCTCGGAGTAGGGCAGGTGCGGCGCGGAGCCGTACGCGTCCTGCCGGCTCTGCCCGCCGTGGCCCGCCGGCGCCAGGCTGCAAACGCGGTCCACGTTGGTTTCTTCTATGATTTCAGGCTCGGTCTGTTGAGCGCAACAAAAGCACACGGAGACACGCACAGGAGCTTAACCAGGCAGGCAGCACCGGTGCAGCTTCGCAGAAAGTGTATTCTCAAACCCAGACAGGTTTGTATTCTCAAACCCAGCTGCAACATCTTTTTGATTCAGAGGTACACAGCACATGGAGACAAGGGAACTGAGAACAGCAGTGGGCTGGGGACTAAGGCTGAATTAAAAGATATGTTGGACACAGATACCAATATGACTGACAGAACTCCATCATCAACCCCGAATCATTTAGGACAACAACACAGACGTCATGAACGTAACTGTTTTATCCCATAGTATCTATTCATCAATAGCATTTAAAATAGTCATAAATAAAAGAATACAGCAGGATAACCTTACAAAAAAATCCAGTACTGCCCTGATAATTTGCTCGAGTGCTCTGTAACTCTTGGCATGGCATTTTTTTCTCAAGTAATAGTGCAATAACTTTCTTCTTCCCCAGCTCAATCAGTCATGGTACCACAACCTTCTGTAACATGTGTACGGTTAATCATACACAGTAAAGAGCAATCACAGTACTTCTTCACCTGCAGAGGAAAATACCCACTCAACTTTCGTTTTCCATTTTCAACTGTTCAGATAAGAATTATATGATCTGCCTGAGAACTGGCAATCAACTCTAAATAAAAGATCATAATTTGTTTGCTCTCTTAGCTGTTAAAATACAACTACATTTTGTACTTAATGAAAAATACAGCAGTAAAAAACAATAATTAACCAGGCTTAAATGTGCCTTAGTGATTTGTGGGCTATGCAGTGAATAATTAGCACAAGCGAGAGCTCCTGCAGTGCCTCGGTGGCAAGGAGAAATTGCGTGACGGAAGACTGCTTCGTAAATGCTTTGCAATCAGTCATGAGGAAACAGGCCAAGGAAAATGAACTGAGAAAATACTGGATTTGACGGATGTCAGTGAAACGGTGGTTCTGCACATTGCCGGAGGAACTGGATTCAGCTCCTTAGGCGTGGGGAAAGTCTGCTCAGGGTACCACACAGGTGATCCTGCCAGTTCTCTTCTTACCTCAGGGAAAGCATCCCGTTTAGTCCACGGAGCTACCTACAGAGACCAGCTTTCTACAAATAATTACTTCTTTTTAATATTAATAGTAATATCCCAACAGTCTTTTTAAGATACTTCATGTTGATCTTACATGTTTCATCCACATCGTCCTTTCACCATAATATCATCTAGTTTTAGATGGTGATTAAATCTAATTTGAAGGTTTCGTCTCCATGTGAGGAAGAACTTCTTTGCTGTGAGGGTGACAGAGCCCTGGAACAGGCTGCCTGGGGAGGTTGCGGAGTCTCCTTCTCTGGAGATCTTCAAACCTTCCTGGATGCCACCCTGTGCCACGTGCTCTAGGTGTCCCTGCTGGAGCAGGGGGGTTGGACTGGATGATCTCTAGAGGGCCCTTCCAACCTTAACCATTCTGTGATTCTGTGAAGTAACACACCTTGCATTTATTTCTCTTTTAAGATTAGCAGGTTATTCATGTGTATGAAAAAGAACCTTGGGCCACATATTTTAAACTGCATCTCCGCTTCTCCAGAGATTAGGAGGCAGATTTTAAAAGCAGCTCAGTTCCTTATGTACACTGAGATCTGTATCCACCATTGAAAACTGATTTTTTAAAATCTCATTACTTCAGTTGCCTACTAAACTGAAGTCTGACCTCTTTTTCTGCCTGTGTCTAGATATGAAGCTGCCTCTCACTAAACTAGAAAAAAAATGTTCAAAGTACTCAAACTGCAAGCCACATAAAGCTTTTGGAATTTGGAATCAGAGAAAATAGGAACAAACAATTGAAATGGCAGGACCTATCTGTCTTAGAGCAATCCAAACTTCCTCTTTGTTTTCTCATAACTATGCTCTCAAAAAAAAGAAAAAAAAAACAGCAGTGTTCACTGCATTTAAAAGCTACAAAAAGTTCTAAAACTCCAAAAGCAAACAAAATATGATTCTGTTTTAATTATTTAAAGTTACTGGCATTATAATAGAAATTACTGGACATTCTATATAAATAAAAATCATGTAAATTTTAGGACCATGACGATAAAGTACTAAGTGATTTTTATGTATATGTGCAATTAAGAGCCTCAGAAATCACACTATCCCAATCTAAAGACTAATAATCATAGCTCTTCTATTTTACTATGACTGTAAAAATGTCAGTGAATTGAATCCCACAAGAGACCTATTAATAACTGAAGAAGTAAATCAGGTTCTCTACCACAGTCCCTTACTGAAGTCCTTGTATATCTTTTGATCCTCTCCTATAAAATAAAAAGATGTCTAAAATATATCATATGAATAAATGATTTTTAATAGCAGTCTAAATTAAGTCAGCTTTGATTTATCAATATCAACGTTAGCATGAAGATTTTGGAGACTAGTGGCAGAAATACAGATACTCAATTTTTAAAATTTATTTCATCTTGCCACCTGGATGTGCTATTTGCTCGTATAGATGCCAGTACACATTAATGTTGCCATGATAAAAATTCAGATCTTGTTCATACATAGCTACTGTCTAATACAAGAAATTGGAACTGCAGAAGAAAAAAAAAAAGGTATGTACTAGAGACATAGAGGTTATATTTTTGGCTTGTCATATATTGGCAACATTCTGCTGCTGTAATTATAACAGAAAAATTCTTCATGAGAACATTATATCCAGAAGTTCTGGGGGAGTTACATCATTGTAACTACATCAATAAAATGATACCAGTAAATTCTTTCATATATTGATCTGTAGACAAATAAGGTCACTTGCATAGGAAACTGCTATCAGTTTTTTTCTTAATTTTAGGAATAAATGCTGAACAAATCTCACTGAATTTATCTGATAAACTTACATCATATCCGCTGTTACGGATTCCACGTCTAGGTCTCTCTCGGGTGACTAGAAGATCCATCTCAGTTTCTCCTGGGCTAGGGCTGTTCAAAGACTGCCTGCTTCTGTATACAGAGTTCTTCATCTGTTGCCTATAAAACATCAAACAGCAAAATACTGGAATGAAAAAAAAAAAAAAAACCACACACACAGGCAATAGCTTCCAGTATCAAATGTTATTCTAAAATGCTGAGTTTCCTAAAAATACCACTTTGTAATCTGATATCCTCGCTTTGCACACAGAACTGCTAGAAATCAGTAACATTATGGAAGAGATGATAGATTTTGTTTACTGTTAATGAAGACACCTACATGAAGACATGGCTATCACTTATAGGGGCTTATCGGATGAGATAGGTTCCAAGAAGGTATCAGAATCCTTTTAGCATTAACTTGTGATTTGTATTAATAAAAACTACTATTAAGTTATCAATTCAATGGATGTTACAGATTATAAGACCTCTATTTAGGTGCCGAAGTATGGATATTATCAGGCAAGGCTTCCAGGCTACACAGCATATCAGAATCAAAACTAGAACCAAAACTCAATATAACAAAGTTATTAGTTAAAGATGCTCTAACAAACACAGTTTGGGATTTTCATGGGCAATACAAATCTCCATACAGAATTAAACTAGTACAGCTACTTCTATGGCCTGAGATTCAGATCTCGTATCTCTTCTAGTTGTCCAGGTGGGGAGTTTTACCATTCAGCAAGGAAAGATTTGGCATCATTACCCATGAGAGAGACCCCCTGATGGAGGAGCTGCCACCAAACCATACCACAGGTTTTGAAAGGAGGGCCTAAAGAGCACCAGAAGGGAAGCAGAGCAAGAGAGAGGGAGAGCTGCCCTCCCACACTTCGACGGTGGATACAGCCCTGGCGCTGCTCCGCCTGCAGTCGCCCTTTCGGGTGCCCGTTCGCGCAGTATTTACACTGGCTTCCCCAAGCCGCCAGCCTAAGGTGGGTTACGCGGAGGCGTTTGCGCTCTGCTACCACATGGGAGTGCCCAGCAGGACACGGGCCCCGCCGGATTGGCCCTGGTGCCCACTCGGAGCCGGTAACAAGGCTGCAATAGCAGAGGATTACAAGGGCAGGGAACATAACAGCTTTCCCGTCATCACTGGTAAATTTGTGCAAACCGGAGAAGAGTTGAAAGCAGGGATTTGAAAGGGAGCTATTCAAGGAAGATGCTTAGCAGACTTTCACGACCTTCTCCTCTGCTTGCAGGTATTATGAGAGAAAATGCAAGCTTGTGCTAAGATTTGATTGAAGGACAAAAAAGGCTTATATCAAAGTAAAGTACAGCTGTGCCCGAGAGATTTACTTGACATGGTAAGTGGGGTGAAAAGAAAACCCCAGAATTTGAAATGTTTTGGACTGAACAAACTGATTGCAAAAGGACCTACCGCAATATTTGAGATTCTGAGGAGCCTAGGGCTCTTTCTGCAAGTGATGCAAGAGAAAATAACACCAAAGACTCTCTGTGATATTCCGTAATCACAGAGACCTCATGGTTTGATCTCTCTTTCCAATGAAATGGAAAGACAACACAATTCAGATTAATTCACCAATAAAAAGAACGAATTCTTCACATATTACAGATTTGGTTAACAGAATTTGCTGTCTTGCTAGATAAGAGTAGCAGAAACTGGTTTGCAGAATTCCAAAAATGCAAGGACAGAACAGAAAGAAAAATGATAGGGCAAGAACCACCAGCACTGACCCGTTTAATCTTTCGAATTAACAAATTACTCAAGCACGTATTTAACTATTAGGGGCTTTTCGAGAACCTTCCCTCACAAATTCCCATGCGCGTGTTCCAAAGTCCCAAAGGCGCTGCCAAATCAGAACACAAGGAGAGGGGCTAGGATCAATTTCTCCTATAAATATGATAGTAAATAACTAAAGTGCCTTATTTGAAAGCTATTTGAGTGCATGAAGGACACAGTGGATTTGTAACCATAAGAACAAAGTGGTAGGGAGATGGGAAAAAGCATGAGGGGATCCCAAAGCTTCTTCCTAAGACTTTAGCACTGACACTACCAGAAACGACAGGGAACCTGGCGAATACTAAGCCTAGCCAGATCTGACTATACGTATGTTCCTACATTAAAGGTCTTCAGAATTTCATGTATGTTTTACAGTATGTCTATGAATACTTAGCTGACGTAGTTGTGATATATTTTCAAAAGGAGTCACTTATGCAGCTCTTTAATACATGCAGGTTCTTGACCTGATTACAAACTATTAAGGAAACACCCAGAATAGTGTCTATCATCAGCAGGCTTTTTAAAATTGCTTTGAGGTTGCCAATTAGCTCATTTAAAGAAGTTCTGCTAATGAGAAAGGAGATATGAACACTAACAACTGGCATCCAAATGGGTTAGCAAGTCTCCACTGGGAACACAACTGGAGTATTCTAAAAGATGAATTTTATTGCACGGGAGACTCAAAGGAACTAAGAGCACATAACTGTTGGTTCTTGAACAAACCAAATTATTTACTGTTGATATTGTGGAAATAATTTTTAAAATACCACTTAAACAAAAATGAATATAAAAGAATATAAAAAGGTAAATGTGAATACTGTAGCTAATTGTATATTTATTTACTGATGTGTTTGGGAAATGTTATAATAGTGTGATTTAAATTGGCAAAATATATAGACAGAATAGAATGAAAAAGCCTTTTACCTAGAAATTTTTAAATCTTTTACTTATTCCTAAATGTTATTATTAAAAAAATAGAAAGTATTTTAAAGTACAAGTTTTTAATTACCATAATTATAATGATATAAATGATGATACAAAACAGAAAATGTTATAGAGCAAATCTCTTCAACTTCATGCCATCAAGAAACCATGCTATGGCTGCTTTAAAACCAATATTATTTTATTATGGAAATAAAATTATATTAATTCATTTACCCATAACTAAGAATTGCAATTCTTTGCAGATTATTCCATATCTTCCTTCAACAGTTTGTCATCTTACCCATCTTACTTTTACTTACTAAATGGAGGCAACAAGTGAACGCCAGCCGTGACGCAGCAGATCAGGTTGGGCTGGAGGAGCCAGTATGGAGATTACAGCATGGACTACACGCCTGGCTTGTCTGCAAAAAGTCCTGAAAATGCTCTGCACCTTTACAGAAGGCGTAAGAGAAAGGGGTTTTCTCCCTTCCTATACACGGTTATGTTGTACTGTAATGTAAGCGTCCTAGAGCAATGAGCTGGCCTTGAAGCACTTTATATAGTGACACTGATCATTGTCCTAAAAAGACTATCACAGGTTTACACAGCACATCAAAAAGCACATAGGAAAAATGTATCCCTGGATCTTTCAGCATACAGGCACACGAACAAACATTAGTATGGTTAACAAAAGGCAGATGGCTAGTTTTAAAGCTTCATGTGTGAAGTTTTAAGCATTTCCTATGTGACATATGATGCCTAATAAACATTCAAAGCAAGGCTTCAGCCCTTCACTGTATGTACAACACACAGTCAGATCCAAGTGTCTACCTGTTTTATTTATATTTCCAGTGCATTTACATTTCCGGCACATATAAATGTGCAGATAGAATAAGAGTACTGTGCATTAAGGTTCAGTATCTTAACTTTTCCGTGCATTTGGACAATTTAATCCTCCCTCACCAGATGCCTGCACAAGGAAATGATGCCGCAGAGCCCCCAGTATTACAGAGAAATCGGTCAGAATTTTTTTCTTCCTTAACCAGTGCGACTCTGACCAGCACGCGACACAGCTTCACCATTCCCATTACAGCCCTTTGCATCTGTTTGCACTGGGACTGAAGCACTGTGCACAAACACTGTGTCATCACTGATGCTTTCATGGCAGTCACCATTTAAGCTCACAGGAAAACTTTGGCCTGAACTTTCCAGAAGAGAAGAGCCATCATCTCAATGCTTGGGGAATTTGCAGGGGGAATGTACTTCAGGATTCCTTTTCCCTGCTGGATCAGCCGCAGTCCCTGTCTGCGGCAAACACCAGAGCCCTCATGGTGGGAGGTGTTCTGGCAAAGACTCTCCCGCTTCGCACCTCCTTAGGCCGCCCCTATGAAAGAGGGATGTGCATATTGCACCACCCCTCTTGTGGACTGCTGTCATCTCCCCTTTTTATCACCTCAGTTGGTGTTTCCGAGAGCAGCACAGGCCCACCTATCTACAGGAGGCTCAGAGAGAAGCCGCAGGCATCTGGTACTCCCCCCTTTTTTCTGAAAGAGGGACGAGCACTGTCGATATGCACCTAACAAGGCGCCAGTCCAGCATCAGTGCGGCCACACAATACGCCCACTGCACACCAGGGATGAGCAAATTACCACTCTGTCAGAGACCCTGAAAATCATCATTAAAAGACACACACACATACTGACAGAAAACACTGCAGGATTTACCAAAATGTAAGGACAATGTGCTGGTTGTGTTATCTTATGCCTACTGCAACAGTTATACCGGAGTCAAAATAATGACAGATAAAAATAAAACAATAGACTGCAACCCCAGTGATCTTGGAAAAGGATGAAATCAGCTGCTAACTTCCTGTTCACTTTTATTTCCAAAAAAATTACCAGGACATTTTCTATAGAGATTTTTTGGAAAATAACCCACAAGAACTTGCAGGAGTCCCTTCACTTTTTTTTATCCTTTCCATTTATCCTTTTTAATTGCATTGCAGTTTTATTGAATGCCATACTTTCATAAATAATCACAGGCTATATCTATGTTCTTCATACAGTGGGAGAGACCAGCTGATCCAAACGAACATATATTTTCCGATTAAAAATAGATCTTTTCATTCCCTTGATGAATAACTGTGTATATAAAAAGTCTCACCTGTTTTTAGGTTCAGCAAATGAAGATATATCTGTATCTGGATCCAAAATGTGGTCAATTTCTTTGGGGTTTTTTTCATACATCCTTTTTCTGTCTGTCAGCCCCTTATTGTTATCAGCCTGGGGGAAATCATAGTATCCCTTCCTCTTGGCTTTCAGGCGCAGCTTGTTGCGGTAATGTTCTATATCAGACTTCTGCTTCAAAGCTTTGTTCACCTAAAAGGCAAAAAAAAAAAAAAAAAAAAAAAGGATTTAAATGATGGTGCCGGGCCGATTACTTCAAAACAGTATTGTTAAAGTGTTCCATGCGCTGCGTGTGTCATTTTACAGCGTGGTTTTGTACCACACCATGCCATCTGTAAGCAGTGAGGAACTGCAAGTGAACAGAGTTGCTGTATTTTTATGTCTTGGCAGATGGTTAAATAATTTTAGCCTAAAAACTATGTACTATCACAGCAGTGACTCAGTTCACACCCACTGAAAGAATCACTGGTGATATTAGCCAAATACCATGACCCAATGCCATGCCCATTTGTGGGCCCAATGGGGAGAAAGTGCCCAATGGAAAATCCAGTAGGATCCAGGAGGTTCAGGCATCACCTCCGACTGCATAAAGCCTTGAACAAGCAGTCACGGGTGGCTAGGAAAGTATTTCGGTCAAACAGCATCATATGTTCCTCTCATTCACAGTCTTCCTTGAAAATCTATTATAGGCCACTGTCAAAGACAAGATCCTGAAATAAATGGGTGTTTGGTGTCACCTGCTACAGGTTAGGATTCTTTGGATGCTCCTGAGGGATGGGAACCTACATCAAAATTTCACTTCAAATTGTGAGTTGAGTGAAAAAGAGTAATTTACTTGGAGTCTCTGCTTCAAGAGTCAAATTCTACAGTCTTTTCACAACTTCCAAGATATGTATGTTCAGTAGAAAAGAGCATTAGGAATGTTTTCCTGATAACTTACTCTTAACAGAAACTGGGTGCTGATTTCTAAATAAGCCTTCCCTCTGTGTTTGGAAAGTCTGTGGCACAGCAGAGCTTAAAATACACAGACAAAATGAAACATGACAGACTGCTCTAATCAAGGCCCAAGTGGGAAGCCTGACAACATTGTCTTTACTTAGTTTCTAATGGCAACTCTCAGTGTTGGTTTTAAACAGTAAAACAGGATGATTCTGCCTGATTTTTACATGACTGTTGCAGTGCAAGTTTGTAAATGAGAAACCCCTTTGGCCTGTTGGCATCATGTTTAACAACTATATAAATTCCCCAGTCTTTGCATAATAAACCATTCTTGATCAAATGTACATAAAAAATAGGAATAATCATGTAAGACCTCACACCAAAGCACAGATTCAAGTCAGCACTTGAACCCAGCACACTTTCTTCTCAGTAAAGAACAGTACCCTCTGTGCACAGGCTGGAGGGCAGACTGAGCAAGGTCATGGTCCTGCTCTGTCTTGCTCTTTGGAGTGAGAGAGAAGAAACAAGAGTTTGAGACTCACATGATTTACATATATGTCCAAGCTCAGTCACAGAATTCATAAATTCTGTTCTCTGCCTTTCTTACCATTTGCCTAAGGTGAATGTGCCAGAAGAGGATACTGAGAGAGCCGGAACACCACACAGAGCCTAACGGGCACGCACTCACAGGCGCACAGCGGCAGAGCAGGCCGCGGAGCCCACAGCAGCGCAGTGAAGTGACCCAGCCCTTCCTCAGCGATCTCCGGCCTGACCCTGCTACACTGCAACATGGCCAAGCAAAGAGCTGAGACGTCACCCGGCCATCCTTACCTCTCCGTTAATGATGGCAGACTCCTGGCTTCTCTCTGATGCAGCATGAACTGCAGGCAGCGGCACAGGTTTGATAGCTATCAGCTGTACAGATCCAGAAGAGGTGTCGAAGGGATCAATAGTGGATTTGGCAATGTTATCAAAGAGAATGCCTCCTTCCTCATCATCGCTTACGGCCACTAAAGCACAACACACTTATTCAGTATAAAGACACAAATATTTTTACTGCATGTTCGAGATGAAATTCAACAAGCACATCCTTGCGCTCAGTACACTCAAGGAGCAGACCTCTAGACCTTTACACCGGAAAAATCACTTAGATTACAGATGATGTTATATGTTCAAAGATGAAAAGGAGAAAGACACAAAAAAGCAGAAAAACGACAATGACA